ATCTATAAAACATTTACGACAAACCGGGCAAGTTAGATGATTTTCAACCACCATCAATGCATATCGAATGAAACATATGGTTGCACGCCGGAAAAACTTACAGGTTTCGCGTCTGTATAATCATCCAAACAGATAGAGCATTCTCCGGAATGATCCCTAATCTAATTTCTTTACTTCTATAAACTACTGGTGGCAGCAATTTTTCTAAAGCGCTGCCTCAGAATTCTTCTCTCTTCAATGCTACTTGGCATTCCTTCTATTACATCGATAGACCGATAATTATGATCCGCAGGAATATCTATGGTTTGATAAGTTCTGATCCTGGCTCGATGATTCCCCAGTCTTCCTGGTCAATGTCGCGGCGTTCATACTTTCGATAACGCGCGAACAAATGCATTCACAGACAATGTAAGTGATGAGTGTAATGAAGGTTGCAGCTATAATGCAGATTGCCAGTACAACATATTAAGATAATAATCATAATGCAAGGAGCTGTGAAGAAAGCAAAGGAAGAGAAACATCAGTAGGAAAAGAAACAAAGGGTGCGGAAACCATAATGTTAATCGTACTTGTTCAATTGTAGATTGATGGCTCACCATTATAGGATTATTTAAGTTTGAATAATGTTATTGCTGCAACAATCCTGGAAGTTAAATCGATTAAAACGAATTCGGTTCACACAACAAAAAGGGTAATGCATACAAAGGAAGAAATTAATTAAGGATATATATGAAAACTGTTGAGAATCCGGTTAGTATTACTCCCAAAAAGAAAAATAATCCAAATTGTATGTGAGACTACTGCATGGTGTTAAGGGTAATAAGACTTTGTCGAACCATAAATAAGAACTTAATTAATATTGAAACATGCTACAATCAAAGATAGGTACCCACTTTACCAATGTCATTAACTATTAATTGATCATTCTATTGTTCAAACTTTAATTTGTTAGTCGTTCTCTTTACTAGCATTGGTTAGCTAACGTGACGGAGATTTTGTATTTATAAGAGCAAACAACATATTCCAACTTGAGGTTTAGCGAATCTCAAGTTGATACTCTTGATTGTAAATATCAGATTTTACCCTTAAAGTAACGAAATTTCTTTTATTAACCGATTTTAACTTTTACTATAATGTGATGCACGTTAGCATGCTAGCGAGTCGACATTTTCTTTGATAGAGGATGGGCTCATGTTAGCAAAAAAAGCTCATATTAGAACGTCCAAGCCTAAACCTTTCCAGCCGATTCTAAGTCCAATATCACTTCCGAGACCACTGTTGGACTCTCACAACCTTTTTATAAAACCCATACCTCACTTGCCGACATCACTTCCGTTTATGACCACCTTTAACAGTCACTAACGGTGTTAGTTAAGGGTGTGAATATGGAATAAATGCAATTAGGGATATTAATTGGGATTTTGATAACCTCGGGGAAATATGTCGTTTACTATTTTATAATAGGAGTTAGGAACATTCATCTTTGAGAATTATTGAGCTTGCACATTAAGCAGATTTAGATCATTCAATCAAATGTGAATCAATATAACCTAGAAGGAATCGTGCGGTCACCTGGGGGAACTTCTCATCGAATTGCCATTTTATTTTAAAGATTTGTTGTTTGTTTTAGCTTATATGCCAATCACACTGATAAAACTAATAGCCACATTTATGGACTCATGTCTATCATTAATGACAAATTATTGCACCTCTTTGATCATATATATATATATATGTCCTTCGTAACATCTTTATCATGAAATACTAATTTTGTTGTTCAAAATAATCTCTAATTGTAATTGCGATATATAATATATAGAAAACATCTATGATATAATAAAGTACCGTATCAACCCGTACTATGTATCAACCAATATTGTTATCTCATAATTTTTCATATTAATAGTTTTTTTTTCATCATGGAGGGTGTTAGGGCAAAAAATTATCCTTGGCCCGAATAGGAAACGGGCTCGACACTGAAGAAGAAGCGCCCAATCTGATATGACCCCACCAGAGTAGGCCCATTCGGTACAAGATATAGCCAGCCCAAACCACGTGGGACGAGCCTCCTAATCCCAGTCCTTTCCAAGTCATGGGCGAATCCAGAGCCCACAAACCCCTCAGAATACTTTCCTACTCCTGATCAATCTCCCATTCAAGGTCACATTCCTATTCCTGATACACTTCTACTCGGAGTTACTCTCCTAATCAGAATCACCTTCCTATCCGGACACTGGTAAGACAGCTTACCACAACCCTAATTCTTCTAGGGTTTGTATCAGAGTCATACTAGGACTCCTACTTCTACCAGGATTAGGAGACCAGACGACCACTATATAAACAGAGGCCAACCCTCTCACAAGAAACGGAGGAAATACACCACACTGAAAGCTCTGACTTGAGAGCTCCACATCACCGCCATAGTCACAGTCCCGACTAGACTTCCGGTAACTCTACTCCTAGCCCTCACTATATAGCCTCTCTCAGCCTTACTGACTTGAGGTCGGAGTGCCTACGGCAAACCAACCCTGGTGTTTCCCGTTGTCACGCGTGTGTTCTCTACGTGTGCAGGTGCAGCGGATCGCTAGTGGCCTTAACCTCACGGGATCAGACCCTCCTTCCGTACAGGTAGATTTTTACGTCTACAGAGGGTGTCCGGGCCAGTTGCGTATACTTAACTAATTATCCAGGGTTTTGGAACTATTGATAGGTTAAGAGTCCCAATGACCATCTTTATTAGTATCCGAGGGGACTCGACCTCAAGAGTTTATGAACATCCTTTGCTTTTTTACCATCAAGTCACCCAATGGTGTTACCCAATAGTTACCCATCATATTAGTGATAAAAATTGATATACAAAAGAATAAAGTAATGATATGTGATTTAAAATACCAATCAGCGCCAAAAAATCATTTTATAACATAAGCCGTGTAGATAATTTTGTTGAAATATCAATACAAAGTTTTGTCTAATTACAAATGGATTATATGAATTTCACTGTGTTTTATTTAATATTGCTTTGAGGTGCTTCTTATAGATAAAGTATCACCACACATTTTTGTTTTTTACAACAATAAAAAACTACATAATGGGAACAATTTCTGGAAAGTTCATTAAAACTTCCTAAAACAACCGTTTCTTTATTTGTTGCCATCAACTAATACCTTCACCTGTAATTCCACCGTAGAATTGGGCCTTGGCAATTGGCATATCGATGTACATTACAACTTATGCATCTAATCTAGCTATCATTAAAACAAAATGGCAACTACTTCAAGCTCATGAGCTAAAAACAATTAAAATTGAATTACAATTTTCCCCAAAAACTGTGAATATTTGGTTATGGAGAAGGTTTTTGCATTTCCGAGCGAAAAGAAAGCCTGAGATCATGCGGAGTTGTGTTGTATAGCTTCTGTCTTTTTAAAAGTTTGCTGTGAACATCAGGTCCGCCGCTAGGACTTAATTTATATTCAATACATATATTTTGTTTCCTGTCATGAAAAGAAAGTAGAAATTTTCCATGACAAATTAATTACAGATCATGCACACATCCACGTACACTACACATTTGCCTTGCAGCTAATTCGACAAACGGGACAGGTTAAATGATCCTTCAACCAGGCGTCAATGCAACTTGAATGAAAAATATGGTTGCACACAGGAAAAACTCGGCAAGGTTCGCCATCGGTGAAACTTTCCAAGCAAATGACACAGTAACTTGAGTTCTCTGATTTATCCAGCTGGTGACCATAATTTGTGAGAGGTAGTAATTGCTCCAAGGCTTCCTGCGCTATTCCCTGCCTTTCTCGGGTTTCTGGATCGGAATCGCTACCCTCACGCTCTCGAATTCGAAGGCGATCGCGTTGCCTATTACGATTTTTATGAAGTAAGAAGAATAAAAGAGTTACCACGATGCAAATGCATATCATAGCTGATAATTCAAGATAAAGCATGGTATTAGATCGAGGAGAATTTGATGGAGAAGGAGTTGGAGAAACAAAAGATTGGGAATTGTTCATATTTGGTTAATTTTGTGTATAAAAGGCATGCAGACTACGTAGACATGGTATTTTTTGTTTTTTTCTTGAGCTAAAAGAAGGGGAAGTTTTGGAAATTAATCAAAACGGAATCGGTTATGAATCTCCATTCCAGGGATTAAGTTTCCGAGAAAAAAACCAAATCAACCATATAAATGAAAATATTGGAAAAACCAGGATGCAGGTTCTGGTGAGCTCTGATGAGTTGCTATTGCATCCATGTCCCTGAAACTAAACTTCGGAAAACAAGGTTTATTAATTAATCTCTCATGCTCTTGATTTGCTGGTCACCTCACCTGATCATCAATGGCTGCCATTATAACCATAATTTAGCGAGCATTGAAAGATCAACTAAAACAATAAGTTTGTTAAAACCTTTTTATGGGGGTCCTATTGATTAGGTTAGTTACCTTGGCTTATTACCTTTTTATGGGAGTTCTATATATATATATCACCATAATATGATTATGTTAGGATCATATATTTAATTACCATTAAATTCTTATATGTACGTAAAATAACATTTTAATGAGTAAATTCAACGGTATTCAAATACGGTCTGATTAAAGAATATACATGTACATGTGTATATATTATTTAAAAAGTTAATAATACAGTAACTATGTCTAAGCCACAGTTTTTGCTTGATTGATTATAAAGATGTCAAATGGGTCAACACTTTCTGCTTGATTGAGATTGAGAAGTCCTTTAGCAATTGCTTTGCTTCCAGACTCCAGTGGCTAAGCGAGAAAATTTATTCAGCGAGATCAAAATATAATATTCAATTACTGAGGGGACTAGAGATAGTTAAAAAGTTACATTTGTGGGGTTAAAGGTTAAAGTTTAAAAACTGAGGGGTGTCGGATCCCCACCGGTCGCCCCGGCTTCAATCTCTAGCCTTGTTTGGATTCGTTATTGCGACATAATTTTTTAAATTAGTTGAAATTATTTATGGACATCAACACAAACGACAACCAAAAACAGAATTCACTGTCGTTTCGTCTACTCTTACGATTCACTGGCTTTAACAGCCCAAATCCTAAAACCCTAAACCTCTCAATCATTACCAATGGAACAACAATCCGAGAACATCCTCTACGAAACCCTAAGCCCTCTCCCTCTCTCTACGCTTTCCGATGTCCCCTCACGCCCTCAATCTCCGCCGTTGGATCAATTGGAACCCTACACTGTGTTTCGCAACGAGATTTCGTTATCTGATCTTGGTGGCGGGTACGTGGAATCTCCCGCGCCTGATTTTTTCTCGCTGGATGTGAATAGTAGTGGAGTTGATGAATTGGAGGAAGCCGAGCCGAAGTGGCAAAAGGAGCCGAAGACGCCGACTAAGGAACTTGAGCCGAGGTTGGAGAGTGGCTGGTTCAGAGGCAATAGTAGCTTTAAGAGTCCGATGCTTCAGTTACATAAAGGTGAATTTAACGTAATTGAACAAGTAAAAGCATCATGTTGTGATTGATTGTTATTGGGCATTGTTTGGATTAGGGATAATTGTTTAAAATTTGAACTTCTCATTGTGGAGGTCGATTTTAGTATGTGGAAGTGTGAACAAGTGACCTTGCTGTTGATTTTTTTTAGAGTGTTGGGATTTTTGTTTTACTTTTAAAATTATATTAATAAATGTGTTTAGCTTTTCTGGATGTGGATGTCAGAGCTTATAGGAACAAACTTGTTGAATAATTTTTGTTTTATTTGTACTTCATCCTATATGTATTTGAAACCTATCATCTAATTATTGGTATTACAGAGATTGTGGATTTCTGTGATTTTCTATCTCCAACTCCAGAAGAACAAGCTCTTCGTAACTCTGCAGTAGAATCTGTTTTTGATGTTATTAAATACATATGGCCCAAGTGCAAGGTATCATCTGATACTTCCTCTTTCTATCTATGCGTACTCTGGTTTTGTAAAAGCTTAAAATATGGCATCTCACTGTTTTTGTTTGATAGCCTGAGGTTTTTGGTTCATTCAGGACAGGGCTTTATCTTCCAACTAGTGATATCGATGTAAGTATGATAATCTTGTTTTCTCTGTGCTTGTGACTTTTATGATGCGTTTCATTATTTTTAATTGCCTGCTTTTTTTTTCTTTTTTTTAAATAAGAACATATGTTGTCATATATTAAAATTGGGGAATTTGATTTGTTGTCAACTAAATTCAGGCCTGTGGCTGGATGCTTTTATGTAGGTTGTGATTCTGGGGTCTGGTATCAGAAACCCACCAACTGGTTTGCAGGCTCTTTCTAGGGCATTATCTCAACGAGGTATTGCCAAAAAGATACAGGTGTGCTTTCATTGACACTATCATCGTCTGTTTTTATTAAAGATTTTGGAATCTAAAATGTCATCTTTTGTGTTTTAAGGTGATTGCAAAGGCTCGTGTGCCCATCATTAAATTTGTAGAGAAAAAAAGCGGTTTTTCATTTGATATAAGGTACATCTGCTAACCTTTTGATCCGTTGAATCAAAGCCTGCTTTGCATCTCTTTATATTTGTTTTTCTCGGAGTATTGACCAATGTTTTTTTTCCTCTGGATGACAGTTTTGATGCTCAAAATGGACCAAAAGCAGCTGAGTTTATCAAGGTTTTTATCTTGCCTGTTTTTCTGGTCACAATAGGGATTGTAATCCTTTTAACGAATGTCAGATGAGATCAAGCAGTTTTGTAACTTTAAACAATTTTGTGCATGCGTATGCTTGTTTAATAGTTTCTTTTTTCAGGATGCATTATATAAGTGGCCTCAATTACGTCCATTATGTTTGATCTTGAAAGTTTTTTTACAGCAGAGGGAACTGAATGAGGTTGAGTTTGTTATTCTCTGCCTTTTGTTCAGTCAATCTTATATCACAATCTGCCTAATTTGATTTCTTTTAGTTTTATAGGTATATTCTGGTGGGATTGGTTCATATGCTCTCCTTACCATGTTAATGGCAGTGTTGAAGGTAATATTCCCATTGAAATATCTAGTTTGCACTCGCAAATGGGCCCGTAGTCTCACTTTTGATCTATACTCAGTGAGATGTTCTTGTTGTATTAGCAATTTAGCATGCTTTTATTAAATCTAAGAATTTTAAGTAGGTTGAGTGAGTCATATTCACTTTCAAACTTTAGTTTAAGATCAAGATTAGGCAATGAATTTTGAAGCTGGCTGCACTGTAGGAATCAAGAGACAATGATGCTACTTGTCAGTGAAAAGTTCAGGATGGGGTGGGATGATTGTTCTAATAGTTATTGCATATCTGAAATAGAGAGACCTCCCTAGGATGAGCCCCTGATATTGACTTTTGATATAATTTAGAATTTGTTTTTGCAAAAGTTATGTTGATAGCGACTGTAAAATAAAAAAGTCTAATATTAATTATCCACTTACTGCATACGCTCTGCATCAGAGTAGCACCTTGATTTTATCTCTTTGATACACTTAATTCTTTGAAATTCTTGAGTAACTACTGTACATTATGGACAGCATTATGTATTTTATCTGATTGTTGTTTATATAATTTCGATGGTGCAGAGTCTTTATGAGTGTCAAACTTCTCCAGAGCATAATTTGGGAGTCCTTTTGGTACGTGTTCTCAGCCTTGTTGATCCAGTTAACACTTGTTTCTGAGTCAACAATGCCAAAATCTCAAGTATTAAGCCTGGGATTTAGTTGCTTGTCCTTATCACCTGAAATGATACGAAAGAATAAGATAACATAATGAACATGGACTAAGGAGTGTGGTTTGTAAGACATAATTGTTATAGTTCTAATCTTAGAGATTGAACCTCAATGTTTCAGAGTAAAATTATTTGACATTCTTTTAATTTTTGTTTTCAAAAATAGGTACACTTCTTTGATATTTATGGACGCAAATTGAACACCACAGATGTTGGTGTATCTTGCAAAGGAAAGGGCACCTTCTTTAAGAAGAGTAGCAAAGGGTATTAAAAAATGAAAAATACCTTTATTACGAAGATAAATTTACTTTCTCATTTTGAAATTTATTTTTTCATTATTTGTAAACTTATCCTTGGTCTTTTGTCCTGGTTCCTCTTTTTTTAGGTTTACAAATAAGGGACGACCATTTCTCATCTCCATTGAGGACCCACAGGTTGCCTTTCAGATATTAACTTCTTGTATAGTGTTCATAAGATTTCTGGCAAACAAAAAAAAATGAGGATTTGATAGAATTGACATTGTTGCTTTTCTTGATTTGACATTTTACTTTTTCTAAGGGGTTAGTCGAACTCTTAGAACCTTATGCCAAATTCTAAGAACGGGAATCATGTAAAGTTTGGTCCACCTCCAACCTCATTTTACAAGTTGCCTCAAAGAATATTTAACCTATGAAATTGAGTAATGAATAGAGTGCTGGAGATGACTATTGGTTGCTGCTTTCTTGTTTTGATTATTGATTACACCTGTTATTTTTTATGATTAAATAGGCGCCAGANATACTTGGTCTTTTGTCCTGGTTCCTCTTTTTTTAGGTTTACAAATAAGGGACGGCCATTTCTCATCTCCATTGAGGACCCACAGGTTGCCTTTCAGATATTAACTTCTTGTATAGTGTTCATAAGATTTCTGGCAAATGAAAAAAAATGAGGATTTGATAGAATTGACATTGTTGCTTTTCTTGATTTGACATTTTACTTTTTTTAAGGGGTTAGTCGAACTTTTAGAACCTTATGCCAAATTCTAAGAACGGGAATCATGTAAAGTTTGGTCCACCTCCAACCTCATTTTACAAGTTGCCTCAAAGAATATTTAACCTATGAAATTGAGTAATGAATAGAGTGCTGGAGATGACTATTGGTTGCTGCTTTCTTGTTTTGATTATTGATTACACCTGTTATTTTTTATGATTAAATAGGCGCCAGATAACGACATTGGGAAGAACTCTTTCAATTACTTCCAGGTTTGTTCAACAATTTAGTTATTTACTCTATCTACTTCTGTTTCTTGTTCTGCAGTGACCATGAAATAAATCCTTTGTTTAATGTGGGAACTAATGAGATTTGTTACACAACATCGAGTTTACTTTCTCACTTTACTAATAAAATAAAGAAAAAAGAAATGCTTATATTCACTTATCTCTTACATCCTGGTCTTGTAGTGGACCTCCTGCAAGAGGTTTATTAGGTTGAGAAAGAAGAAAATACTTAGTGAGGTTTATTGGCTAGACTGATCTTACCCATTTATTTCATTAGGGAAAAATGAATATAGAAAACTACATTTTATCTTTGAGTAATGCTAGTTGTACGAACAAATCTTACAAAGATTTGTGTACAAACTGATGTGGCAGGAAATAAATAGAAGAGTGAATGCAAAATGTCAAACTCATCATATTTATGTCACATCAGTTTGTACACAAATCTTTATAAGATCTGTTTATACATCTAGCATTATTGTTTATCTTTTGGTGTATCAGAAATTTTACTTGGAATTTCACATTTCTCCTTTTTTGCAGATTAAATCAGCTTTTTTAATGGCATTGACGACCTTAACAAATCCGAAGACCATCTTTAGCCTAGGGCCCAACAGGAGCATTCTTGGTACCATAATTAGACCTGATCCGGTCTTGCTGGAGCGTAAAGGAGGATCTAATGGTGAGATGACTTTTAACAACTTGCTTCCTGGAGCTGGGGAGCCATTACAGACACAACATGTGGATCAGCAACAAGAGATTTTGTGCAATTGGCAGTCAGATTATGAAGAAGAATCCTTTCCCCGTGGAGATGATAGTGCACAGTCTTCTGAAAAGAAGAGGAAAGCTTCTTCCAAAGAGAAGTCTAGAAAGAAGAAGGTTAAAGAATCAGGGGAGATTGAGAGGCATGAAGAAAGTGGCTCGAGGAAAGAGAGGAGTTCAAAGAAAAAACGGTGGAGACATAACTGTGAGAATGCCAATGGTTTTAGCTGATAATACGTCAGTCATTTCCTATTTGGTTTCGTGTATGTTGAATTAGTGGAAGGCTGTTGATGCATGGCCATTCCATCAAAATATGCAGCGAAAATGAATTAGTAGAAGGCTGTGTGGTTTCAAGTGGGATGTGAGCACTGCCATCCATGCTGCTACTGGTCACGGCCTCACTTTTTCGGCAAGTTGAAGACATGATTTTATAGAATGAAGAAATTGATTGGAGAAATTCATATAAACCTTTGATCTTTCTCGTTCTGGGCTGTTAGGTGGCTCTTCAACCACCAGTCACGGGGAGAGGCATCTGAGCAAATTGCTCAGTATGTTTTACAGTTTTGAGAATTTAGCTGTCTTGTGTACCTTGACAATCGAATAAAGCATTGGCTTTCTGTGCTCTCTTTTTATTAGCTAGCTTGTTTTGTTATGTAACCATGCCATGGTCTTTAGAAACTTCAAAGCAACCTTTGAGAATCAAATGGTGGCGGAAACTTCAAAGCAACATATTATTTATTTCATTGCCACAGGAGGCAATAAAAGATATAAAAGCCCGGGTAAGTATATTAACTTTAATACAATCAAGAAAACTACTTTTATTATAAATCATTTATATTTTCAGAATTTGTCTTTAAAATGGCCCATCTTGACTGACAAGAATTTGTAGGAAAGGTGTGTTTTCAGTAGCAGTATTAATTTCTCAGTTTCCTCATAAAAACAGAAACTTCTAGAAAATATAAAAGGTTAATAGAATCACTAGCCGATATATCAAACTCTCCATGTAAAAAGTTAGTAAAAAAAAAAATGTTGCTAAATTCTCATAGAGTTGAAGTCTAAATTAGAAGGAAAACTATTAAAAAAAAAAAAAAAAAAAATGAGGTTAGCAAGAAAAAAGTAATGTACTCTTATTTACTCTTGAATGTCTGTGCACACGAAATGAAATGCGCAAGGAGAATTATAATTAGCACATAAACAAATAACTCTTGAGAGAATACAATGTGGTTATGATGATTTTGAATGAATCAGGACTTCAAATTTTATCATAAGACATGCTTTAATGTGGCCTTGATAAAAACAATTAATGAGTATCAGAACATAATCAAGTGAAATGAAGGACAACACTTCAGTCTATAAAGACACATGAAATCATGAAGAGATATCACAACCATAGAAACAAGCCCCTTTCTTCTTTGGATTCAGTGGGTTTAGGAACTAGAAATTGATGAGAAATTCGGTCAATAGAAAAACTTGCTGATTTATCAAATTAGTTTCAGAAAGATTTGAACTTGAAGATATGGTCCATGTTATGATTGATGGTATCTTGTACAGCTAAGACTGAGCGGTCTAGTGTAATATGAACCACTTGAAGCTACAAGAAGAACGATAAAAAGAAAGAAGTTAAAATGCAACTATATTTACTTTGTTAACAAATAAACATTATGAGAATGTTTTTGAGTTACCCCTTGTTTTTTCTTCTTTCTGCTATTTGACACTTCTCTTATCATTGTTCTATGTATGGCGGTAATACATCACTCAATTTAGAATTGGTCTGTGGAGACACGTTGAGCTCTATAGGGTATTCTGCACTTCCATCTTCTTTGCCTGTTTGGGATGCCTGCACAAATGACAATATTAAAGTTAATTTATCATGTTATTATTCTCAATACAAGAAACAAACATGAATATAATAATAATTCTGGTCCATTTTAATGGCAAAATCAGAGAAATATTGTTTAGTATCTTAGTAAATTCTTGAATATTGTTAACTATAACAACATAATGCAATATATAGACTTGAGGGTGTGAAGAATTGGAAGTACCTTTGCTTCGGCATGCACGGATTGATTATTTTGTGCGTAGGAAAATCTTGTAGTGATCTTGGGACAACTCCGAACTAACAAACTTTCAAGAGATGGAAATATGAAGTGGTAACTCACGGAGCAGAAGTTGGTGAGGTTTGGTAAAGAAAAGAGTGACAATTCTTGAAGTTGAGGTAACATGATTTCTTTGTTATTTATGAGGTCAGTTCTATCTGTATGTCCAAATACTTCTTCTAGTTGATTCACTCCTATAACATTTATCTTTTGCAGTTGTTGAAGATGTCGGCCTATATTGATAGGAAAGACACATTTCAATTTGTGGCATTCAATCACCCTTATTTGAAAGAGATTTGGAAAGAATAGATGATCCTTATTATTCAATAAGGTTTCATCATCAACAACCAAGATTTGCTCCAATTCTTCACAATTCCCAATCTCCAGATGTTTCAATTGCACCAGATTTTGAGCAAGGGTGAGTGAGAAGATATGTTTCAAACTATTGCACCACCATATCTCTAAGTTGGTAAGATTCTGCAGGCCTAAAACATGAATGGGACCCTTAAATAAACTTTCTAGTTCTGCTTGTTGTAGATATATTTTAAAAAGTTATAATACAGTAACTATGTCTAAGCCACAGTTTTGCTTGATTGATTATAAAGATGTCAAATGGGTCAACACTTTCTGCTTGATTGAGATTGAGAAGTCTTTAGCAATTGCTTTGCTTCCAGACTCCAGGGCTAAGCGAGAAAATTTATTCAGCGAGATCAAAATATAATATTCAATTACTGAGGGGACTAGAGATAGTTAAAAAGTACATTTGTGGGGTTAAAGGTTAAAGTTTAAAAACTGAGGGGTGTCGGATCCCCACCGGTCGCCCGGCTCAATCTCTAGCCTTGTTTGGATTCGTTATTGCGACATAATTTTTAAATTAGTTGAAATTATTTAGGACATCAACAAACGACAACCAAAAAAAGAATTCACTGTCGTTTCGTCTACTTACGATTCACTGGCTTTAAAAGCCCAAATCCTAAAACCCTAAAAATCTCAATCATTACCAATGGAACAACAATCCGAGAACATCCTCTACGAAACCCAAGCCCTCCCCTCTCTCTACGCTTTCCGATGTCCCCTCACGCCCTCAATCTCCGCCGTTGGATCAATTGGAACCCTACACTGTTTCGCAACGAGATTTCGTTATCTGATCTTGGTGGCGGGTAAGTGGAATCTCCCGCGCCTGATTTTTTCTCGCTGGATGTATAGTAGTGGAGGTGATGAATTGGAGGAAGCCGAGCCGAAGTGGCAAAAGGAGCCGAAGACGCCGACTAAGGAACTTGAGCCGAGGTTGGAGAGTGGCTGGTTCAGAGGCAATAGTAGCTTTAAGAGTCCGATGCTTCAGTTACATAAAGGTGAATTTAACGTAATTGAACAAGTAAAAGCATCATGTTGTGATGATTGTTATTGGGCATTGTTTGGATTACGGATAATTGTTTAAAATTTGAACTTCTCATTGTAGAGGTCGATTGTTGTGGAAGTGTGAACAAGTGACCTTGCGTTATTTTTTTTAGAGTGTTGGGATTTTTGTTTACTTTAAAATTATTAATAAATGGTTTAGCTTTTCTGGATGTGGAGTCAGAGCTTATAGGAACAAACTTGTGAATAATTTTTGTTTTATTTGTACTTCATCCTATATGTATTTGAAACCTATCATCTAATTATTGGTATACAGAGATTGTGGATTTCTGTGCTTTTCTATTCCAACTCCAGAAGAACAAGCTCTTCGTAACTCTGCAGTAGAATCTGTTTTTGATGTTATTAAATACATATGGCCCAAGTGCAAGGTATCATCTACTTCCTTTTTATCTATGCGTACTCTGGTTTTGAAAAGCTTAAAATATGGCATCTCACTGTTTTTGTTTGATAGCCTGAGGTTTTTGGTTCATTCAGGACAGGGCTTTATCTTCAAACTAGTGATTCGATGTAAGTATGATAATCTTGTTTTCTCTGTGCTTGTGACTTTTATGATGCGTTTCATTATTTTAATGCCTGCTTTTTTTCTTTTTTTAAAATAAGAACATAGTGTCATATATTAAAATTGGGGAATTTGATTTGTTGTCAACTAAATTCAGGCCTGTGGCTGGATGGTTTTATGTAGGTTGTGATTCTGGGGTCTGGTATCAGAAACCACCAACTGGTTTGCAGGCTCTTTCTAGGGCATTATCTCAACGAGGTATTGCCAAAAGATACAGGTGTGCTTTCATTGACCTATCATCGTTTTATTAAAGATTTTGGAATCAAAATGTCATCTTTTGGGTTTAAGGTGATTGCGAAGGTCGTGTGCCCATCATTAAATTTGTAGAGAAAAAAAGGGTTTTTCATTTGATATAAGGTACATCTGCTAACCTTTTGATCCGTTGCATCAAAGCCTGGTTGCATCTCTTTATATTTGTTTTCTCAGAATATGACCAATGTTTTTTTCCTCTGGATGACAGTTTTGATGCTCAAAATGGACCAAAAGCAGCTGAGTTTATCAAGGTTTTATCTTGTGTTTTTTGGTCAATAGGGATTGTAATCCTTTTAAAGAATGCAGATGAGATCAAGCAGTTTTGTAACTTTAAACAATTTTGTGCATGCGTAGCTTGTTTAATATGTTCTTTTTCAGGATGCATTATATAAGTGGCTCAATTACGTCCATTATGTTTGATCTTGAAAGTTTTTTACAGCAGAGGGAAGAATGAGGTTGAGTTTGTTATTCTCTGCTTTGTTCAGTCAATCTTATACACATTGTAATTGATTTCTTTTAGTTTATAGGTATATTCTGGTGGGATTGGTTCATATGCTCTCCTTACCATGTTAATGGCAGTGTTGAAGGTAATATTCCCATTGAAATATCTAGTTTGCACCGCAAAGGGCCCGTAGTCTCACTTTTGATCTATACTCAGTGAGATGTTCTTGTTGTTTAGCAATTTAGCATGCTTTTATTAAACTAAGAATTTTAAGTAGGTTGAGTGAGTCATATTCACTTCAAACTTTGTTTAAGATCAAGATTAGGCAATGAATTTTGAAGCTGGCTGCATGTAGGAATCAAGAGACAATGATGCTACTTGTCAGTGAAAAGTTCAGGATGGGGTGGGATGATGGTTTGATAGTTATTGCATATCTATAATAGAGAGACCTCCCTAGGATGAGCCCCTGATATTGACTTTTTAACTTAGAATTTGTTTTTGCAAAAGTTATGTTGATAGCGACTGTAAAATAAAAAAGTCTAATAGTAATTATCCACTTATCCATACACTCTGCATCAGAGTAGCACCTTGATTTATCTCTTTGATACACTAATTCTTTGAAATTCTTGAGTAACTAATGTACTTATGGACAGCATTATGTATTTATCTGATTGTTGTTTATATAATTTCGATGGTGCAGAGTCTTTATGAGTGTCAAACTTCTCCAGAGCATAATTTGGGAGTCCTTTTGGTATGTGTTCTCAGCCTTGTTCATCCAGTTAACACGTTTCTGAGTCAACACATGCCAAAATCTCAAGTATTAAGCCTGGGATTTAGTTGCTTGTCCTTATCACCTGAAATGATACGAAGAATAAGATAAACATATGAACATGGACTAAGGAGTGTGGTTTGTAAGACGTAATTGTTATAGTTCTAATCTTAGAGATTGAACCTCAATGTTTCAGAGTAAAATTATTTGACATTCTTTAATTTTTGTTTTCAAAAATAGGTACACTTCTTTGATATTTATGGACGCAAATTGAACAACCACAGATGTTGGTGTATCTTGAAGGGAACGGCACCTTCTTTAAGAAGAGTAGCAAAGGGTATTAAAAAATGAAAAATACCTTTATTACGAAGATAAATTACTTTCATTTTGAAATTAATTTTTCATATTTGTAAACTTACTTGGTCTTTGTCTGGTTCCTCTTTTTTTAGGTTTACAAATAAGGGACGGCCACTCATCTCCATTGAGGCACACAGGTGCCTTTCAGATATTAACTTCTTGTATAGTGTTCATAAGATTTCTGGCAAATGAAAAAAAATGAGGATTTGATAGAATTGACATTGGTGTTTCTTGATTTGACATTTTACTTTTTTAAGGGGTTAGTCGAACTTTTAGAACCTTATGCCAAATTCTAAGAACGGGAATCATGTAAAGTTTGGTCCACCTCCAACCTCATTTTACAAGTTGCCTCAAAGAATATTTAACCTATGAAATTGAGTATGAATAGAGTGCTGGAGATGACTATTGGTTGTGCTTTCTGTTTTGATTATTGATTACACCTGTTATTTTTATGATTAAATAGGCGCAGATAACGACATTGGGAAGAACTCTTTCAATTACTTCCAGGTTTGTTCAACAATTAGTTATTACTCTATCTACTTCTGTTCTGTTTCTGCAGTGACCATGAAATAAATCTTTGTTTAATGTGGGAACTAATGAGATTTGTTCACAACGTAGAGTTTACTTTCTCACTTTACTAAAAATAAAATAAAATAAAGAAAAAAGAAATGCTTATCATCTATCTCTACATCCTGGTCTTGTAGTGGACCTCCTGCAAGAGGTTTATTAGGTTGAGAAAGAAGAAAAATACTTAGTGAGGTTTATTGGCTAGACTGATCTTACCCATTTATTTCAGTAGGGAAAAATGAATATAGAAAACTACATTTTATCTTGAGTAATGCTAGTTGTACAAACAAATCTTACGAAGATTTGTGTACAAACTGATGTGACAGGAAATTAATGGAAGAGTGAATACAAAAAGTCAAATTCATCATTCATGCTACATCAGTTTGTAAACAAATCTTTGTAAGATTTGTTTGTACATCTAGCATTATGTTTATCTTTGGTGGTATCAGAAATTTTACTTGGAATTTCACATTTCTCTCTTGCAGATTAAATCAGCTTTTTTAATGGCATTGACGACCTTAACAAATCCGAAGACCATCTTTAGCCTAGGGCCCAACAGGAGCATTCTTGGTACCATAATTAGACCTGATCGGTTGCTGGAGCGTAAAGGAGGATCTAATGGTGAGATGACTTAACAACTTGCTTCCTGGAGCTGGGGAGCCATTACAGACACAACATGTGGATCAGCAACAAGAGATTTGTGCAATTGGCAGTCAGATTATGAGAAGAATCCTTTCCGTGGAGATGATAGTGCACAGTCTTCTGAAAGAAGAGGAAAGCTTCTTCCAAAGAGAAGTTAGAAAGAAGAAGGTTAAAGAATCAGGGTCGGAGTTACTCTCCTAATCAGAATCACCTTCCTATCCGGACACTGGTAAGACAGCTTACCACAACCCTAATTCTTCTAGGGTTTGTATCAGAGTCATACTAGGACTCCTACTTCTACCAGGATTAGGAGACCAGACGACCACTATATAAACAGAGGCCAACCCTCTCACAAGAAACGGAGGACATTACACCTTCACACTGAAAGCTCTGACTTGAGAGCTCCACATCACCGCCATAGTCACAGTCCCCGACTAGACTTCCGGTAACCTCTACTCCTTAGCCCTCACTATATTAGCCTCTCTCAGCCTTACTGACTTGAGCGTCGGAGTGCCTACGGCAAACACCACCCTGGTGTTTCCCGTTCGCTTCACGCGTGTGTTTCTCTACGTGTGCAGGTGCAGCGGATCGCTAGTGGCCTTAACCTCACGGGATCAGACCCTCCTTCCGTACAGGTAGATTTTTACGTCTACAGAGGGTGTCCGGGCCAGCTTGCGTATACTTCAACTAATTATCCAGGGTTTTGGAACTATTGATAGGTTAAGAGTCCCAATGACCATCTTTATTAGTATCCGAGGGGACTCGACCTCAAGAGTTTATGAAACCTCCTTTGCTTTTTTACCATCAAGTCACCCAATGGTGGTTTACACCAATAGTTACCCATCATATTAGTGATAAAAATTGATATACAAAAGAATAAAGTTAATGATATGCTTGATTTAAAACGCCAATCAGCGCCCAAAAAATCATTTTATAACATAAGCCGTGTAGAGTTGCTAGTGTTAAAAGCTATTGTAAGTGATAATTTTGTTGAATTATCGATACAAAGTTTTGTCTAATTACAAATGGATTATATGAATTTCATCACTGTGTTTTTATTTAATATTTGCTTTGAAGTGCTTCTCTATAAATAAAGTATCACCACACAATTTTGTTTTTTACAACAATAAAAAGCTACATAATGGAAACAATTTCTGAAAAGTACTTTCAAAAACTTCCTAAAACAACTCAATTCTTTATTTGTTGCCATCAACTAATACCTTCACCTGTAATTCCACCGTAGAATTGGGCCTTGGCAATTGGCATATCGATGTACATTACAACTTATGCATCTAATCTAGCTATCATTAAAACAAAATGGCAACTACTTCAAGCTCATGAGCTAAAAACAATTAAAATTGAATTACAGTTTTCCCCAAAAACTGTGAATATTTGGTTATGGAGAAGTTTTTTGCCTTTCCGAGCGAAAAGAAAGCCTAAGATCATGTGGAGTTGTGTTGTATAGCTTCTGTCTTTTTAAAAGTTTGCCGTGAAGATCAGGTCCGCCGCTAGGACTTAATTTATATTCAATACATATATTTTGTTTCCTATCATAAAAAGAAAGTAGAAATTTTCCATGACAAATTAATTACAGATCATGCATACATCCACGTACACTACACATTTGCCTTGCAGCTAATTCGACAAACGGGACAGGTTAAATGATCCTTCAACCAGGCGTCAATGCAACTTGAATGAAAAATATGGTTGCACACAGGAAAAACTCGGCAAGGTTCGCCATCGGTGAAACTTTCCAAGCAAATGACACAGTAACTTGAGTTCTCTGATTTATCCAGCTGGTGACCATAATTTGTGAGAGGTAGTAATTGCTCCAAGGCTTCCTGCGCTATTCCCTGCCTTTCTCGGGTTTCTGGATCGGAATCGCTACCCTCACGCTCTCGAATTCGAAGGCGATCGCGTTGCCTATTACGATTTTTATGAAGTAAGAAGAATAAAAGAGTTACCACGATGCAAATGCATATCATAGCTGATAATTCAAGATAAAGCATGGTATTAGATCGAGGAGAATTTGATGGAGAAGGAGTTGGAGAAACAAAAGATTGGGAATTGTTCATATTTGGTTAATTTTGTGTATAAAAGGCATGCAGACTACGTAGACATGGTATTTTTTGTTTTTTTCTTGAGCTAAAAGAAGGGGAAGTTTTGGAAATTAATCAAAACGGAATCGGTTATGAATCTCCATTCCAGGGATTAAGTTTCCGAGAAAAAAACCAAATCAACCATATAAATGAAAATATTGGAAAAACCAGGATGCAGGTTCTGGTGAGCTCTGATGAGTTGCTATTGCATCCATGTCCCTGAAACTAAACTTCGGAAAACAAGGTTTATTAATTAATCTCTCATGCTCTTGATTTGCTGGTCACCTCACCTGATCATCAATGGCTGCCATTATAACCATAATTTAGCGAGCATTGAAAGATCAACTAAAACAATAAGTTTGTTAAAACCTTTTTATGGGGGTCCTATTGATTAGGTTAGTTACCTTGGCTTATTACCTTTTTATGGGAGTTCTATATATATATATCACCATAATATGATTATGTTAGGATCATATATTTAATTACCATTAAATTCTTATATGTACGTAAAATAACATTTTAATGAGTAAATTCAACGGTATTCAAATACGGTCTGATTAAAGAATATACATGTACATGTGTATATATTATTTAAAAAGTTAATAATACAGTAACTATGTCTAAGCCACAGTTTTTGCTTGATTGATTATAAAGATGTCAAATGGGTCAACACTTTCTGCTTGATTGAGATTGAGAAGTCCTTTAGCAATTGCTTTGCTTCCAGACTCCAGTGGCTAAGCGAGAAAATTTATTCAGCGAGATCAAAATATAATATTCAATTACTGAGGGGACTAGAGATAGTTAAAAAGTTACATTTGTGGGGTTAAAGGTTAAAGTTTAAAAACTGAGGGGTGTCGGATCCCCACCGGTCGCCCCGGCTTCAATCTCTAGCCTTGTTTGGATTCGTTATTGCGACATAATTTTTTAAATTAGTTGAAATTATTTATGGACATCAACACAAACGACAACCAAAAACAGAATTCACTGTCGTTTCGTCTACTCTTACGATTCACTGGCTTTAACAGCCCAAATCCTAAACCCTAAACCTTCAATCATTACCATGGAACAACAATCCGAGAACATCCTCTACGAAACCCTAAGCCCTTCCCTCTCTCTACGCTTCCGATGTCCCTCACGCCCTCAATCTCCGCCGTTGATCAATTGGAACCCTACACTGTGTTTCGCAACGAGATTTCGTTATCTGATCTTGGTGGCGGGTACGTGGAATCTCCCGCGCTGATTTTTTCCGCGGATGTGAATAGTAGTGGAGTTGTGAATTGGAGGAAGCGAGCCGAAGTGGCAAAAGGAGCCGAAGACGCCGACTAAGGAACTTGAGCCGAGGTTGGGAGTGGCTGGTTCAGAGGCAATAGTAGCTTTAAGAGTCCGATGCTTCAGTTACATAAAGGTGAATTTAACGTAATTGAACAAGTAAAAGCATCATGTTGTTGAGATTGTTTTGGGCATTGTTTGGATTACGGATAATTGTTTAAAATTTGAACTTCTCATTGTAGAGGTCGATTTTAGTGTGAAGTGTGAACAAGTGACCTTGCTGTTGTTTTTTTAGAGTGTGTGGGATTTTTGTTTTACTTTTAAAATTAATAATAAATGTTAGCTTTTCTGGATGTGGATGTCAGAGCTTATAGGAACAAACTTGTGAATAATTTTTGTTTTATTTGTACTTCATCCTATATGTATTGAAACCTATCATCTAATTATTGGTATTACAGAGATTGTGGATTTCTGTGCTTTTCTATCTCCAACTCCAGAGAACAAGCTCTTCGTAACTCTGCAGTAGAATCTGTTTTTGATGTTATTAAATACATATGGCCCAAGTGCAAGGTATCATCTGATACTTCCTCTTTCTATCTATGCGTACTCTGTTTTGTAAAAGCTTAAAATATGGCATCTCACTGTTTTTGTTTGATAGCCTGAGGTTTTTGGTTCATCAGGACAGGGCTTTATCTTCCAACTGTGATATCGATGTAAGTATGATAATCTTGTTTTCTCTGTGCTTGTGACTTTTATGATGCGTTTCATTATTTTTAATTGCCTGCTTTTTTTTTCTTTTTTTAAAATAAGAACATATGTTGTCATATATTAAATTGGGGAATTTGATTTGTTGTCAACTAAATTCAGGCCTGTGGCTGGATGCTTTTATGTAGGTTGTGATTTCGGGGCTGGTATCAGAAACCACCAACTGGTTTGCAGGCTCTTTCTAGGGCACTTATCTCAACGAGGTATTGCCAAAAAGATACAGGTGTGCTTTCATTGACCTATCATCGTTTTATTAAAGATTTTGGAATCTAAAATGTCATCTTTTGTGTTTAAGGGATTGCGAAGGCTCGTGTGCCCATCATTAAATGTTAGAGAAAAAAGCGGTTTTTCATTTGATATAAGGTACATCTGCTAACCTTTTGATCCGTTGCATCAAAGCTGCGTTGCATCTCTTATATTTGTTTTTCTCAGAATATGACCAATGTTTTTTTCCTCTGGATGACAGTTTTGATGCTAAAATGGACCAAAAGCAGCTGAGTTTATCAAGGTTTTTATCTTGCCTGTTTTTCTGGTCACAATAGGGATTGTAATCCTTTTAACGAATGTCAGATGAGATCAAGCAGTTTTGTAACTTTAAACAATTTGTGCATGCGTATGCTTGTTTATATGTTTCTCTTTTCAGGATGCATTTATAAGTGGCCTCAATTACGTCCATTATGTTTGATCTTGAAAGTTTTTTACAGCAGAGGGAACTGAATGAGGTTGAGTTTGTATTTCTCTGCCTTTTGTTCAGTCAATCTTATATCACAATCTGCCTAATTTGATTTCTTTTAGTTTTATAGGTATATTCTGGTGGGATGGTTCATATGCTCTCCTTACCATGTTAATGGCAGTGTTGAAGGTAATATTCCCATTGAAATATCTAGTTTGCACTCGCAAATGGGCCCGTAGTCTCACTTTGATCTATACTCAGTGAGATGTTCTTGTGTATTGCAATTGCATGCTTTTATTAAATCTAAGAATTTTAAGTAGGTTGAGTGAGTCATATCACTTTCAAACTTTAGTTTAAGATCAAAGTTAGGCAATGAATTTTGAAGCTGGCTGCACTGTAGGAATCAAGAGACAATGATGCTACTTGTCAGTGAAAAGTTCAGGATGGGGTGGGATGATGGTTCTGATAGTTATTGCATTCTTAATAGAGAGGCCTCCCTAGGATGAGCCCTGATATTGACTTGATATAACTTAGAATTTGTTTTTGCAAAAGTTATGTTGATAGCGACTGTAAAATAAAAAAGTCTAATAGTAATTATCACTTACTCCATACAATCTCTCATCAGAGTAGCACCTTGATTTTATCTCTTTGATACACTAAATCTTTGAAATTCTTGAGTAAAATACTGTACATTATGGACAGCATTATGTATTTTATCTGATTGTTGTTTATATAATTTGATGGTGCAGAGTCTTTATGATGTGTCAAACTTCTCCAGAGCATAATTTGGGAGTCTTTTGGTATGTGTTCTCAGCCTTGTTCATCCAGTTAACACTTGTTTCTGAGTCAACAATGCCAAAATCTCAAGTATAAGCCTGGGATTTAGTTGCTGTCCTATCACCTGAAATGATACGAAAGAATAAGATAACATAATGAACATGGACTAAGGAGTGTGGTTGTAAGACGTAATGTTATAGTTCAATCTTAGAGATTGAACCTCAATGTTTCAGAGTAAAATTATTGACATTCTTTTTATTTTTGTTTTCAAAAATAGGTACACTTCTTTGATATTTATGGACGCAAATTGAACACCACAGATGTTGGTGTATCTTGCAAAGGGAACGGCACCTTCTTTAAGAAGAGTAGCAAAGGGTATTAAAAAATGAAAAATACCTTTATTACGAAGATAAATTTACTTTCTCATTTTGAAATTTAATTTTTCATTATTTGTAAACTTATACTTGGTCTTTTGTCCTGGTTCCTCTTTTTTTAGGTTTACAAATAAGGGACGGCCATTTCTCATCTCCATTGAGGACACAGGTTGCCTTTCGATATTAACTGTAAGTGTTCATAAGATTTCTGGCAAATGAAAAAAAATGAGGATTTGATAGAATTGACATTGTTGCTTTTCTTGATTTGACATTTTACTTTTTTAAGGGGTTAGTCGAACTTTTAGAACTATGCCAAATTCTAAGAACGGGAATCATGTAAAGTTGGGCCACCTCCAACCTCATTTTACAAGTTGCCTCAAGAATATAACCTATGAAATTGAGTAATGAATAGAGTGCTGGAGATGACTATTGGTTGCTGCTTCTTGTTTTGATTATTGATTACACCTGTTATTTTTTATGATTAAATAGGCGCCAGATAACGACATTGGGAAGAACTCTTTCAATTACTTCCAGGTTTGTTCAACAATTAGTTATTTACTTATCTACTTCTGTTTCTTGGTCTGCAGTGACCATGAAATAAATCTTTGTTTAATGTGGGAACTAATGAGATTTGTTACACAACGTAGAGTTTACTTTCTCACTTTACTAATAAAATAAATAAAATAAAGAAAAAGAAATGCTTTATTCATTATCTCTTACATCCTGGTCTTGTAGTGGACCTTGCAAGAGGTTTATTAGGTTGAGAAAGAAGAAAATACTTAGTGAGGTTTATGGCTAGACTGATCTTACCCATTTATTTCAGTAGGGAAAAATGAAATAGAAAACTACATTTATCTTGAGTAATGCTAGTGTACAAACAAATCTTACGAAGATTTGTGTACAAACTGATGTGACAGGAATAATGGAAGGTGAATACAAAAAGTCAAATACATCATATTCATGCTACATCAGTTTGTAAACAAATCTTTGTAAGATTTGTTGTACATCTAGCATTATTTTATCTTTTGGTGTATCAGAAAATTTACTTGGAATTTCACATTTCTCCTCTTTTGCAGATTAAATCAGCTTTTTTAATGGCATTGACGACCTTAACAAAT